TAAACTGAGGTGTATCAAACACAGGGCTTGAGATGACCAACTTTGTGGCATATGGAGATGTGCGGGATGCGGCCAACAATAAAACCAAATAAAACTTGGTGAATGGTTGGTTTTGAGTAGGGAGTCGACGATAGGCTATGAAGCCCGTCAATGGCTATCAACCTAAATATAACATTTATCCCACTTTTTTGGGGTCAAAATTCTTCGTTCAATGCCCTGTGTTGAGTTTCAACACCCTGTCATTGAAACAGTTGTTGAGTGGTTCATATCCTGATGTATCCTATTGTACCCCACAATGTAGATACATCATAGATCATCATAGTAATGTACCCAGATTCCTGATCCGGGTAGATGCTATGTATATATATATATGCATACATGATATCAAAATAGTGGTGTATGTATATATATACATATATTTGTAATACATAATTATCTATAACCCATGGTTCATGCTCCCATCCACTGTTTTGATCCGTGCCGGCACCCCAGGTCGATGTGATGCCGGCTACAGCGGCCCAAGCTGCGAGGCCTTCTGCCCCAACGCCTGTAGCGGTACCTTGGGGCAGAAAGGTGGTGAAATGATGGTTTCCACCAGGGAAAATGTGGCTTTTGATGAAACAAATCAGGGGAATTGCCCTCTGGTGAACATACAAAAAGCTATTGAACATGGCTATTTATAGTGAGTTTTCCCATTGAACATGGTGATTTTCCATAGTTATGTAAACGTTTACCAGAGGGTACCAGAAAAAATGATGGAACATGTGGGTTTAATGGAAAATGAAGGTTTGGATCAAACAAATCGGGGGAATGACCGGAATTCACCAACACACACTGGGGTTAACCAACCAAAAATAGGAGTTTGATGAAACAAAATAGAGACAAAAAAAGCAAGGACTTTTTCTTGAGATGCACCAACAAAAACCAAGCAAATTGTGGGTGTTGATCAAACAACATAGGATATAGGGGAATCAAGCCACGAACATTGGGGTTCTCCAATCAAAAATATAGTTTCTGATAGTTTTTTATCAACAAAGATGGAACGCTCACCAACAAATATCGGGATTGAAATTTCACCAACCAAACCTGGTGTTTTGTCAACAACAATGGGGAGTTATATAATGCAATGACGGCTTTTTGGCAAAGACACATGATCAAAAGGAGAAGTTGACGGAGATTGCAGTAGGTTGCGGCTGCTTCAGCCCATTCGTAGTTTATTTTGATTCGATACCCATGATGTGCTGGTTACTTCCCTATCATTTGCCGGGCACAAAGAAATGGCTGGCTTTAATCCTAAACCACAAAGAGATCAGTGATCAAATTTCATTGGCCACTCACTGACGGGAACATGTACAAGGGCCAAGGCTTACCCCGTTCCCCCATATTTCATAAGAAAACACCCGGTAGATTTTCACAAGAAAATAAATCCCATGAATCCCAGTTGTTTGCAACTGCTGCTCATGCAATCCCCTATTTGAGAGTTGGTGAACTCCATTTCTATTGAATTATGATGCTGATTCACATATCTTGAACCACTACCCTCTGGTAAATTCGCATAGCTATCGAAGATCACAATTTTCGATAGGTAATTCATTTATAAATAAGCTATTTTCATCCATTTCCCAAAGCCATGTTAAATTACCGGAGGGTACATCCCTATAATGATGTTGCTACTCCATTTCTATTCAAGATATGATGATATATGATGCTGACTCACATCTCTTGAACCGCTACCCTCTGGACATTTCCATTCCATATCCCATTCCATCTTCCCGTTAATGTGGGTAAAACAAAAAGTAAAACCATCCCCCAGTCATCACCATTTTTATAGGTGGTATAAACTTACCATTCCCAGTCATGGGTGGTTTATGGCATTGTTGTACCCACATTATACCATTCATTCCCATTCCATGTAAATGCTATCCCATTCCATAAATCCATAAATGGGATAATTATTTGCATTATCTCATTATCCAATTCATTTATGGATGAGATATCTCATTCATCCCATGCTATTTCGATGTTGATTCACATCTCTTGAACCCTAACCGTCTGGTAATTTATAGTCCATTCCATTTTCCCATTCAATATCCCTATGATATATCTCATTCCATATGATATCCCATTGTCCCATTATCCCATTTATATCCCATCCCATATCCCCATGATATCCCCATGATATCCCCATGATATCCCCATGATATCCCATGCAGCTCAAGGCTCCACCCCCCACCACCCGTCCCCCTAGGTCAGGGCCGCTGCATCGAGGGCGGGTGTCTCTGCTTCGCCGGTTTCAGCGGTGTGGACTGCTCGGTGCAGAGCTGTTGCAACGGCCACGGCAGCTGCGAGGTGCGAAAGCTGAGGGATGGGTATATAAACAAATCCATTTACTGGATCAAGAAACAGATATATATATATATATATGTATCCACTTAAGGATATTGGTATATATATATATGTATATATACATATGTATATATAGATGTAAGGATCTAAGGATCTTAGCCTAAAGTGTTTCTGATCAAGAAACAATCAATGGCTACAATTTGGTTGTAGTATGACCAGTGACAATGAACACCTACTGTATTTTGCATGAGACTTTGGGTTTTGACAATTACAGAAAACATGTAAAGACCTGAACAAAACATGTGCGCGCAGCATTAGCCCTTTGCACATTTTTTTCTGCAACCCCTACAGCATTGCGCATCGTCAATGTCTGGAAATTCTGGTGATTTCAACTGAGAATGACCTGACCAGCGACTAGACTAGTGCCATAGTCACCCATAGTCACGCATAGTTCCCTTTTTTGAGACTAGTTCCGGATTCCTCAGTATGGTTGGATGAGTTTCAACCATGAGGGCTGCATCTGGGTCATTCCGGAAGACCTCGCAGGTGCCTGGCACCTGCGTCTGCGATGCTGGATGGGGTGGACCAGAAACTGGTCCGCAAAAATGCCATGCAAACATAGGCTGAGTTGATCTGTATGGTCCGAGGGTTTGGTACGGATGATTTTGGGGTGTGAAGGCATGGGCTGCCTGGGCTTGAGTCTCATTCTTGAGGAAATTGGGCATGTTGACAATGGACGTATCGATGTATTCATCTCCTGTTCTCGAGGACACAAGAGATAACAGGGACAACGCCAGACACTGGGAATCCAAATTCACAAGCCATTGGACTTTCTTGCGAGCGTTACTCACATGGCTTTGGAGCAAAGTAACCAGTGAAACATCCACGTGCAGAGCAGGGAACAGCATTTTCACTGACGAATGCACAGCTGGCGATCCTAGGAATGCTCGGTGGAATTGCTGTGCACCGATCCCACATGTTCCCACCATGGAACCTGTCTGGAAGGTCATTGCAAATGCGAGGACAGTGGACAGTTTGGTGATGTGGGAGGTGGGGTCAGACTGACCTATCTACTTAGTATCTACTTGTTGTCTTTGGGCCACAATTCGGAGGAGATTCCCCCAGAAGCTTGGGACGACCCACTTTTTGTACAGAATCATGACTTCAGCTCAGTGCTCACACTGTCGACTTCAAGGACTCACTTTGGTGTCAAAGATAGGAATCAATCAAGGCCATTTGCATTACCCTCTGGCAATTTGTTGCAGTTTGCTATGGAAAATGGCGAACATGGCCCATTTAGTTCGAGGATGTACCTATTCAAACTGATGATTTTCCATGGCAAACTGCAAGAAATTACCACGACTTTGGGCCTGCCTTCTCTTCGAATTCGTGGGACAGGTTAAACCTCAACTAGCCATGCCAGGGTCAAGGTACTGGCTCACAATCTTTCAGCAACCCATCGTAGCTGAGAACTGTGTATCCATATCTCATGGCGAAATCCGTCAACTTGCCATTGCCATGCCATGCGTCATACATATATATATATATAATGTAATATAATATATATATATACACATATTCCACAACTGACTTGTAATCATGACCATGTTGGCAAGCCATGGCCTGGTAAGCTTTGGCCCGTTGATGTCTACCACCCGTGGCACATCTGCCAGGACGGTTGGGGCGGCGAAAGTTGCGCCATCCCCACTGGCACCTGCGAACCCAAATGCGGAGCGCATGGGTTGTGCAACGCCATCACCTCCAGTTGCGAGTGCGAGAAGGGATACACAGGTCGGAGGGCGAGAGGGGTTTGTATGGTTAGTGATTGGTTCAGAAATCACTGTTTTTATTGGTTAAAGAAGCAATATAATATCAGATATTATCAGATTGATTCCAATAATTGTCATATATCATATTATTCTCCGATTGGTTTTCAACCCATGGATTCCACTAAAAGGGCCCTATGCAGGTGGCGGTTGCACTGTGAAGCTTGCTGGCTGCCCCAACGACTGCAGTTTGCATGGTTTCTTGGCATTTTTTCGCGTCCGATGGGTGCACTGGGTAAAAATCAAGCAGTATGTGAATGTATGGGATGTAATCATCAAAAATGTACGAAGATCCAGGATGTATGAGATCTTAACCATCAAAAACAGTGATTTTACATGTTTTTTCCAGCAAAAAGGGGCTTGACGTCTGAAGGAGTAGAGATTTTGCCGCTGGTATTCAAACATGGCAAAGAGAACAATCACAGTCTTTACTGGGAAACATATCTATAAATGGCTAGTTCAATATCTTTCAATGGGATATTCTCCATTGCCATGTTGGTATATCCCATTATATCCCATTGTATCTCCATAAACTGGTAGGTTTTATCTCCCCATATCTTGGTTGATGCACCCCCATCTCACGTCCTCCGAATTGATTTCCTGCTTGTTTAGTTGGTTGTTTCTATTTTCAAAGGCTATAGCTCCCTCCTTAACCTTGTTGGTTCAATATGAATCAATATGACAAAGGATTGAACCCGCTCCAATAAACGTGAATCATGCTGATTGGTCAAAATAGGCTCCCGGGACTTGCAACTTAAAATATCCCCAATTGGTATCCCCCTATTCGGAGCCGAAAGCAGCCCAGGTCTCTGCCTCAACGGCAAGTGCATGTGCGGCGCCGGCTACTCGGGGCGCGACTGCTCCGTGCGCTACTTCTCCCCCGGGGGGCTGGCGACGCCGGAAGGCGCATCCATGGAAATCCGGGAAATCCTTGGGGAACAGGATGATTTTTGAGTTGTGAATGGCACTTCAACCACTTGAACCATGAAATATGGGATACCAAAACCATTAAATATGGGATATCAACAGGTGAGTAATTGCTGGGGAAACAAACTGATGAGGTGTTGGTTCATGTTTTTTTTTTTACCAGCAGTACCACACGGGGTTGGGGATTGTATGATCCCTAGAAACTCTGTTGAAACATGTTGAATATTCCCTTTGAATGTAAAGTTTAACACTCCCTTCAATATCCCCTTAACAGTTGTGTGGGCGAACTGGGGGGTTTGCGCGTAATTTTACCTGTACATCCTGTATGTCAGGTGATTGCCACATTCTTGTTGGCTCATCATAACCTCCAAACCCAAATCCACATCTTTGAAGGCTCAAATCACAGTCTTTGCTGGTCATATCTGGCCTTTGGCACGAAGAACCGGTCATTTTCGCTGTGCAAACTGTATTTCTTTCATGATTTCTGCCACTTAAATCACAATCTTTGGTTGGTTAACCCACAGTTCCTTCTTAACACCCATCATTTTCACCGCCTATTTCACCACCTTTTTGCTGGTGAAATCACCTATTTTTCCAGGTAAACCTGTGAATTTGTCCCAGTTTTTTCGGGTGTTTTTGGCCTTCCACCCCACCTGGTCAACGCCAGGCCCAGTGGAGGAGTCGCCCTTCGCGGTGCTGAGCAACGGGCTGCGGGCAGATCAGGCGCTGGAGCAGCAGCTGGGCCCCGAGCCGCGAATTGGATTGGACTTTGAGCCCAAGGAAGTGTGGCTTGGAGGATCGGAGGATGGATGATGATGGATGATGATGGATGATGATGGATGATATATTTCTAACTACCAGTCTGGGGCTATTTTGGCACTGGGTGTAGCTTGGAACGTCTTGGAATGGCTTGGAAGTAGATGGTTGATGGGGGATGATGGTATTCCAAGGTCGACTCCCCTTCCGCTGCCTGCTGCCATGCAGCCACAGGTGGCAGGGGCTGAGAGGTGATGAAGGATATTTGTGGAACCAACACATTAAATGGGCTCACAAAAAAAAGTGAGGGGACCAGAGTTTTTGTGTCATCAATTTTTTGAATTACCCAAAAAAACTGAACAATGTGGTAAACCCAATCATCACCCAAAGTCACTGATTTGGCGGGTGGGATTTCAAGCATCGCCAAATGGGAGTTGTTTATGGCATCGGACTGCCCACATTCTCCAGGCTCCCAGCCTTCAACGATTAGCCTTCAGCTTGGCAGCCAAGGGCAGGCGGGCCGAAGCCACACTGATTAAGGGTAGGTGGTGGATGGTCCATATATTAATGATCAATTTATCTTAGTTTCTAAGCGATTACACCACCAATAAAAGAGATAAAGAGAACTATGCTAAGCTAGATCGTAAATCCATAGGTCTCGAAATATATATGGTCCTATGGTGATTCCACGTGATCTCGGGAGTATATACTACTAAATTCACCACTTAGTACATGCAAGTGGTTGATGCGAACCCACAATCAGTGGAATGGCAAGTGGTGAATTTACATATGAAGCTTTCCTGAAATGGGGGTACCGTTTTTCTTACCTCATCCATTTTAATAGGATTGTCCATTCACCAATGGGGTATCCCCATTTCCAGGAAAGCTCCATAACAATGGTTGGTCCCTGGCATCTAAGTGATGGATGAAGGTCTGAGAGTTCGGCAACACTTTTGAGGTCGATGTTTGAATTGTAAGGAGGGCTTGGTTTTTTTAAGTCAATTTGTGAGTTGAGAAACTACAGTGGAGGGTTGATCAGCAATAGATTGGTAGCTGGTCATCAATTGTTTGATCTAAACTCTATGGGACATAGAATTCAAAGAGAGGTGAACGAGCAAGATCGGGGATGTAGTTTATTTATTTGCTTAAGAGATGGTGTATGATCTTGCTTTTGGATGTTCCAAAAGCAGACATGAAGATGTTAGCAAAGCAATCATGTTTGCCACTCAGAGTTTGATGAAATATACCACCCATTTCTGGTACCCTCTGGTAAACTAACATAACTATGGAAAATCACCATTTTTAATGGGAAAATCCACTATAAATGGCCATTTTCAATAGCTATGTTAAATTACCAGAGGGTAACGTTGGGGATGGTGGATCTATGACACACTGAGTCAGGATCTGCGGCGTAGATGGCAGCTGCTCCAATCGTGGCAGCTGCGACACTCACACGGGACGCTGCATCTGCCAGGCACTGTGGGTGCATCCCAAGGGGTACCTTTCTGGTGCCATGACTAACAGTGACTAACAGGTATAATAGCGGGTGAAAATTGTGGTTAAATGATGGTTAAATGATGGTCAAATGATGGTTAAAGGAAGTGGTTAACCTTCTGGTGACTAACACTTTGCGATGGGAAATTGCACATTGATATAGTTGATTTATCTAGCAAAGATGGTGATTTTCTAGTTCGCCATGTTAGTTTACCGGAGGGTAACATGGTTGGAACATCTAAACTTTTAATGGCAAAATATGGGATAATCATCCATAAGTGGTTGGTAAGTAATAACCCATGTACAACTGGATCCCTCATTCAACTGATAGTAGGGTTAATTTCCATTCACGAACTGGTATGCACGTCCAACTATGGTGGCTTCTGGTGCTGGATCAACGTGTTGAGACATCGTAAATCTAGTAAAATTATGATTTGATTCGTAGAAATTCAGTGTTTTGTGGGTGTACACCAGCACAGGACTGTGCTCTCACCCATTTTAATTTTAGACTACAAATCACCGTTGATTTTGGGCCTCATTTTGCACAAATTGTGACCTTGCGGTGCTCCGATTTTCACAAGAAATCCACCATTTTGCACCTTGGGCACAACGTGGTTCTATCAATTGTCCATTGTGTTTCCCAGCTCTACAAACGTTGCTATCCAACTGGGTTGAAGACTTGTGACTTGGTCGTCCAAGAGCGTCAAAACCAATTTTTTTGCAAGCGAAATTCCCCAAGACATGTGGAAACTCATCCAAAATAACGGTTATTTTTTTGTTTCAAATCCCCATAAATCACCCATTTTTTTTTCCGATGATTTTCCAAGAAAACTGGGCTCGAACGAGGCCTCCTTCTTTGGTGAAGTCTGCGAGCATCAGCATTGCCCTGGCTTTGAAGAGTCCGGCGAGGCGCGGAAGTAGAGAGGAAACTGTCGATTTGTGGCTGATTTTGTTTTTCCACTCGATATGTTATATATATATAATATAATATAATATAATATATATATATATATAAAACATGACATATATATATAACATGACATATATATATATATATATGTTTGGTGAATTTGTTAAGATTCAGTATGATTCAATGCAATTTGATCTTTTTCTTTTGGGATTTAGTTGAAATTAAATGTGATTTAATGCAATTTAAGATCAAGTTGATCTATTTTTTTCTGAACACATCTGCCATGGTTTGGAACCCATCTCGGTGATAGTTGTAGGAAGCCATCAGAAAATTAGGGTATCCAAGGGGTAATAATCTATTCCATCTGGTGCCGAAAATTGGGCGTGCGTAATAGAGGTGACCAGTCATACTGTGGATGGTTGCGAAATCCTGCACCACCAAAAGGATGGTTGAAAGCCTGTAAATCATGGGATGTGAAATCCACCGTTTTCAACTGGTGATTTGGATTTCGCTGGCCCATCCACCGTATGTAGGTCTATTGCTGCGGAATAAGATATTTTCTTCAAATCTTTCTCTGCATGGTCAACAGGGCCCATTTCCTCATTGGAGGACGATCCGAATCAGCAACTGGTTAATCATCCTAGTGAGGATCAGGCCTCCCAGTTGTGGGGTTATCCTATTTGTAACTGGGGAAACCCAGGCGCACTTACAATCCCTAAATGTAGTTCTCCATAGTTATCCCATTTATGATTTATGTCTCTGCAAACTAACTAAGCATACTCATGAATTGTGTTCTCTCTGTCTGCATTGGGTCTATTAATCATATTAAGTGGATTTCACCCAAAAGCATAGAGACCTAGACAGATTAGCTGGCTTGTAATTGCGAGAAAATAAGTACTACAGATACCACTGACTTCGTTTTTGTAGTAAGAACACCAACTACTATAAGAAACCAGTCATACTTAGTTCATTTATACCTACTCACTACGTATGACTAAGTCGAAATTCAACTGAGTCATACTTCATATGAAACTAACTGGTGTTTTTGTTTGAATACCAACAAACCAACATTTCTCACCACAACAAACCCAACTCACTTTTTTGGGATGGTCCCTTTCACATGTCGACCCCCAAACCTCGCACCGGCCTAGGAGTGCTACGGCAACGGCTTGTGCGATGCGGGGAAATGCCTTTGCTCCACCGGATTTGGAGGAGAAGTGCCAGGCCTGGGGTTCAGGTTGTGGACTTATTGACCGATTTATTGAGGATGATTTACCTACATATACCGAAACATGGTATTTATTGCTATAGGAATCTATAGGGGGTTAGTATTATTGTTGTTGAAACCTGCCGTTTACCAAGCAGTTTAATTGCATGATATAGGGAATTTTTCATTGCTCATTTGTTGTTTTCCCAGTGTTTTTTTTCCTTTTTTGAGTGCTGCTGAAGAGAAGCCAAGTAGACTTTCTCTGGTTTGTATGCCCGTTGTCGTTGAGGACCCCTGATCTTGTGACTCGTATCTTCATTTGTCTTGCCAAGAACCATTTTTTTTGTTGCGATGATTCGTAAAGAATCCCATTATTCGTTCAGACTCCCAGTTCTGCTTGTAGTGAACCTATAATCTACATGGGTACGGGTCAAACTTGGGTACCACTAAAATTGGATGGTTAATGCTCAAAACAAATCAACATCTGTGGTCCCCAGATAAAACTGGGAAACAGTACACCACTATATCCCATTATCCTCTGGTAATTTAACATAGCTATGGAAAGTCACCATTTTTAATAGGTATCAGATCTAGACATGACCCATTTTCAATAGCTATGTAAAATTACCAGTTGCAATACTAAACTTTGGATGGTTCAGTAAGCCACTGTATAAATTCCATAATATCCCATTCTCAACATTAAAACATACCATGAAATACACAACGAATCACATTTAGCACACCATTACATACAGTTAGTTTCATGGTGCATTCATGGTGTATTATATTCCGTTGTATCCTATTTCCAATTTATACACCGTGAAATTTCGAGCCATCCTCATCTTCGACAGGTAGCGTGGGCCTCTTGTGTCTCATCGTAGATGGTGTGGGCACGGCTGGTGAGGGGATGGCATGTTGAGGAGACGCCATAAGTACGTGGTGAATTTAGCACATATGTTTGCATTATACATGTTTGTATGTCTATATTATGCATATATATATATATACATAACATTATATATATATATACATATTGTATTTAGATATATTTATGCATTATATTCATATTCTATATAGATTATACAGTAATATACAGCTGGGGGCTAAGCATCCCATTTACAGCTGGCTGAACGAACTACGATGATCACAGATTACTTTTTTATTCCATCATCCTTGCAGAAAAATCGGGTTCCAGATTTGAACGGAACCCTTTGGAACCCCATTTTGAGGCCTATGTAAAAAGTAGGATAAAGCTCATTATCTGGACAAAACCTCATATTTAGAAAAAAACCATAGTTTCAACCGTCAACTCCTCACTTCTATCATCCAAAACCATAGTTACCCCATAGTTTCATAGTTTTTGCCAATTTCTCAGACCAAATTTCATAGTTCCAAGCATTTTCCCGCATGTCCAAGCCGCATTTTCCGCGTCGAACTGAGGAGTTG